GACTGAAGATCTTTTAACGTAAAGATTCGTCACTTTTTAGGATGAGTGTTCTCTTTGATTCTACGTAGGTTTAGTTTTTAAGATAGGTAATCTAACCAGCGAAAACAATTTCCTATACATTTCTTTAGTAAAAAATCTTCTAGAAAAATAAAACCTAATATTTTTCTGGAACAATTTTAAATAAAATTGTGGTAAACAAAACCCTCATTATTAAGGTGTATCAAGCTGACAATAGCCGAGTACGAAGGTAGACTTACACAGCTCGAACGAAATTTCACCTGACTTTTATTCAGTCCGAGATCTTACAAAATCTTAAGTAAGCCTTCCCACACTGACATAACATTCCTAAATCTCTCGAACCGTATTTTGTGTAATTGAAACTTGGCTTGAAGCAACAAAACCAAGTATTGTTAGCAAACTATATAGTCGTAAACTAAACTGGAAGCCATCGGAGGTAGTATTTCGTACAAGAATTACTACAGCAATCCATTTGAGGTAGTTTTTGTAAGAGAACGGCAGCTCGAGTCGATACACTGTATCTCTACAAATTCGTCTAAGTGCAACACTTTGAGATAGAAAACAATTGTACGAAGTTACCGTCTTCCAGCGATTGAATTCACTAACTTTAAAGTGTGTTATTTCTTTCAGACGTAACTTTGTTGTTCAGCGGAACTGACAGTTGCGTAGTCGAGTATTGACTTCTCGATACTCGTTATTCGTTAGCACACTTACAACTCGACATAACTGTGTAACGTTAAACGCGACAGATGTCACCACTTGTTATTGTTTTTATTGCTGTTTGTAGGGACACAGTCACGTATTTTGTTTGGTAACTGTGTACAAGTAGGCACAAGTATCTACATGTTAAATGCGACATTTTAGAGCTTGGAGATTTATTTAAATAATTAGAATGCTTTAAACTTTTCCTCGAATTGCTTCAACCGTATTGATCAGTTACCTAACATTTTTAGTACTTAAAAGAGATTTAATTAATAGTCATAAGTACATTGAAAGCAGGTTAACACAATATTTGCGAATGGTTCCTTCCTTCTTATTTAATCTAAACAAAAGCAGTCTATAGGTAAAACACGTCCTATACATACACTTTGGTCCTACCTCTGTAGTATTAATTTATAGTCTTTGCCTAAACCCGACCGGAATGCGACATATTTATTCCTTACAAAAATACGATGAAAATAAAATCAACGACTTTATGGTTATTGTTATAACAAAAGAGTTTTACCACAAAGGTTTTCCTAACATTACCTATTAGACAAAAAGGTTATTTATTTTCGCCTCAATGATTTGGTGCGGGGGAATCAAAAGTTTCCTTCATTTTCCCGAAGTTTGTGCGGTTAGTGAACGACCAGGTCGTCATAAACCAAATAACACAATGTTTTTATTGACCGCATTAAGTAAATGGAAGAACTGATGTACGGAGCTAAGTTTTCAGAGAACAGATTCACAAATATGTAGAAAGGAAACATATAATTGTAGTTTCTTAAATGTAAACTTTCGATTTTATTTGTTTAATTAATGGTTTATTCAATAAAATGAAAAAAAACATTAGGTAAGCTTAATACTTGATAACTTGATATCCAAAATGAGAGAGCAATAAAGTTAAAATAAAATGTAATAGGAATTCAGTCCAATAATATTGAATTTCGCTTTTATTATATTCGGCCAGTTTCAATTTCGATTTTGCCACTGCGACCATCATAACGACAAACTTTTGTGAGGGCCTTTTTACCATAAATTAAGCAACGCCAAAAATCAATCAAGTCTCGTCTCGCCTAGAAGTCCGGGAGCTGTGCGTGCCGCCCGCCTACTTCACCACCCGCCTATAGCGTCATAAAATTTGTCTGAAATAATAATATAGAAAGATTTTCTAGGTGTAGGATTGATTAGTGTTGATTATAGCCACTTTTGTTGCACATTTAGATAATTATCTTACTAATATTATAAATGCGAAAGTTATGATGTTTGGAAATTTGGATGTTTGTTACTCAATCACACCAAAACGTCTAGACGGATCTGGATGAAATTTGGAACAGGCATAGGATGTACAAGGAGGTCAACATACCAAGCGGGCGAAGTAAGTGCTAAAATAATTAAGCTAATACCAAGAGTGGTCGTTCTAACTGAATACATCCCAAAAGATGACGTAAAAGATTTTTGACCAATATAACAGTACTATGGGCTTAAACAGTAGCACAGGACACAAAGCGCTGTAGCTATTAGAGGCGGTGGCAGCGTGTGGCGTGTGGCGACTGAGCGGCTGAGCGGGGCCGTGCGCTGCAGCCGACGCGTCACAGGCCCTGCGTCCATGAAATTGAATTAGCAACTCATTAGTAACGCCAATAAAACCGGCCGACTGCTCGCCACCCCTGTCGGACTTACCCCGGCCTTCCGATAAACGCATATATGGACCGTGTTAACGTACACGCGCTTTGACAAGAGGTAAGCGCATTTATGGTCAGTAAAGGGTTACGAGGAGCTGGGAAAAGACTTTTGATTAATGAGTTTGTTATAAGTTTTATTAAATTATTTTGCATGCCCATTTAGTTAGAATGTAACAAGGAACTTTAACACTTTGTAACACTTAATAATTTGTACATACAACATACATTAATCTATATACCTATGTAAAATTAATCGCAAAATGTTTTGGTGAGCGCATAACTCAACAACGCCTGGCCAAATTGTACCAATTCTTTTTTTGTTGTATTTAGTATAGTCAGGGGAAGGTTCTAATGAAAAAAAAATTGAAAAAGTAGAGGGGACTATTAGGAAAAAGTGAACCTTTCGTTGTTAGCGAAATACTTAGACAAGTGCGAAGCGCGGACAGCTAGTTACAAACAAATAGTATGTACATTTTAAAATGTCATATATTCTATTCGTTTCCTAGAATTAATAGCTCGTTTAAGAACTAGAAATGACTGAAATGAATTTAGGTAAGTGTAGTAAGAAAAAAATAAATGTACGGATACGAGTTACCAATAATGTCAAGTTATTTGTCTCTGAAAGAATCTTTTTATATGAATAAATTGCTCTTTAATATTGTATGAGCAAGAAGAATGTGTAATACCTCATCATGTTAGGCTCAACGTAACGGGAACAAGTCACAAACACTTTTAATAATGAAAGTTTCTAACAAGAACTAACAGTTACTCGTGGTTTTGCCTGTAGTGAATAACTAAGACTGCGGTGACTAGAACATGTTTTGAGCATAGGTATAGCAATTAAATGGTTTTACTTTTTTTAAAAAAAAACCTTGCCCCACATTATGATTTTCTCCTGTGTCGTGGGTGCGGTTACAAACATACAAATTCACATACACATGACATCCAGATCCGGAACAACAATTTGTGGATCACAGAAAGAGTTGTTCCGTGCGGGAATCGAACCCGCGACACGTTGCACGGCAGCCAGTTGCCCAGCCACCGCACCAACCGTGCAGTCGTTTACATTAAAAATGTATAAAAGGAACTTCAGTAAACCTCGGTTGTATAAAGCCAAAATCTTCATTACTCTTTTAAGCTTTTCAAATATTCCCACACAAACATTCATATCACATTATAATAATGATAGGAACAAACAAAAATCTTGTTAAATTTGTGTGGATTACGACGACGAAGTTATCTGAGTTTGTTGCGGCATTTCTTCACAGAGTAATCAGATAGGAAATGCCGGCTTCATCTAGTTTTTTTTACATTTAATTTTGACTTGTAAAAGTGCTGTTTTGTGGCGTAAAGTATTTACAAAAATGAATTAATTGTTTCAATGTTTCACTGAAGGATACGTTTCTCCAAGCTTTTTAATGAATCAAAGCGTGTGAATTCAGGAGTTTTGTTGACGGTTTTTGTCATATACAAAGTACGTAGTTCTTAAGTTTTACATTGAATCCCCGTTACTTTTCAAATAAACATTATTATATTTGTTATTTTTCTTTTCACGGGACTACAGGATCTTTGGAAGGCGCACAAGAGGCCAACTCTCAGAGATGAGATTTCATGAGATGACCACTCTCAGAGACCCTTTACATATCCTTAATCTGAATGAAATGGGACACAAATATGTTTAAACAGCGGTATAATAATATGTAAGCATTTAATCTAGATAAGCAATACATTTAGCAAATACTAAGTAGATTTTGACTTCGTTTTCAAGCAAATATTTAATTATTTTTATATCTAAGTATTGTAAAGCAATATGTTACGTTTATATTAAAGAGCCAAATTCTAGCTACTTTATGCTTTGATCGTGAAATGAAAATAAGTGTACATAATACGAGTTTACCCAGTCAGATCCTTCGCGTATAAGCTTCGCTCGAGGGCGGATGGAACAAAAAATTAGAATAAGGTGAGGGATTAGTATTTTGTTGCTTCATGTGTAAGAAATAATTCAGAGAGTTGGAGTGAGCCCGGCCGCCGGCAGAGGGCAAACTCCTGCAAATTATAGGCACTTAGTTTAAACGATAGCCCGCCGGGAATCAGATGTTTCGTTACACTCACTAATCTTAACGTATTACCTATTTTAAAATTACATTTAGTACTTTAGAGCTTCTATATAATTAAATTAAATTAAGATTTCTCATTTGTATTTCTATTTTCATAAAATTTATTTCATTAATTACATTTTTAAGTATTTATATTTAATATTTTAATTTCATTTAAATTAATAGTCATAACAGTAGGCAGTGAAAGATTTGCTTAAAGTTAAGATTTTGGTAGAAAACTAAAAAATATCTAGTAGGTACATGTGATATTTGAGATCGATAAGCCATCAAAGATTTATTGGCCATCAATTCTTCTTAACCGGGTTTGCCAAAATCTCTCCAGTTTAAAAGATTCAAATTTATCAGAGAGCGTTGTGGCAAACGCGTCTACAAAGTCTGTATCTACGAAAACTGCGCCTCCGTAACTCGCGTCTACGATATTCGCGCCTACGAAGCTACGCCAATTTCACTTACGGTATATAAACTCAACATTGCGCACCACTTACATAAGTACTTTCGTTTTAAAAGGTAACAAGCTAGATGTAATATCACTACAGTAGGCAATAATCCGGGTATCGGGCATCGAGAGACGACCTCCGGCCACCTTAAGCGGACGGCCACCACAGGGCTCTATGGGACTGATGTTCAGCCAGCGTTGCGGGGTAAGCGCATTGAGGCACCGCGGCTTCAGCCTAGAGCAGCAGGAGAAGGAACGAGGGGGTTTATAGTCAGTAAAAGTCTGACACTCCTCCTCTTTGTGAGGGGAGAAATTATTTAATGACTTTCCTCTCACAAAAAAAGAACACTGAAATTAATCAGATTCTGCAACATACATACGTTAATTCAGCTATTTTATCTCGCAGATAGCCGAAAAACAGAAATCAACAAACACAGAATTAATTCCGTCTATTTTTATAGCACACACGATAATCAAATTTCTGTAACGTAAGCAGGGCAATCAAGGAATTTGTGTCAAAAGAGGACGAAGTCAAACGTTAATTTTCTTAATGTGTCTTGTTAGGGTCGGGATCGTGTTTCGCCAGTGAATAAATTACAACGGCACCAGAGAGAGAGAGAGGTGCTTTTAACGAACTTTGCTATGAATTATAACAATTTTAAAATATCTAAATTAAAAATATTGGGAGCCATGCTTCAGCACGAATGGGTGTAAGTTAAGTTACTGTACTGCACTGAGTGAGGTTATTGTACGTCTAATGCTTGCTATCGCCAATGCCTTTTTTTTTGTTAATTTGTTGCCCCACACTAGGATTTCCTCCAATACTCCCTTCCTTTACATACGCATCACACCTATACCCGGAACAAAAATTTGTGGATCACACAAAGAGTTGTCCCTCCTTGGGCGGCAGCGATTGCTCACAATTAGATAATAAGTACGCCAGCTTGGTATCCACCATATCACATAAAAACGGCTGTAGGTTTTAGTCTTAGATTTCAAACACATAGATAGACCCATTGGAAGCTAAAGCAGAATCTATAATAATTTCAGCATATTTATACATCTATATAAAAGAAAGTCGTGTTAGTTACTCCACTTATAACTCAAGAACGGCTGAACCGATTTAACTGAAAATTGGCAGGGAGGTAGTTTAGAGCTAGGAGAAGGCCATAGGATAAAGTAGGTAGAATAGGTTAGGTAGAGTAAGGTAGGTAGAGTAGGGTAGGTAGAGTAGGCTAGGTAGAGTAGGGTAGGTAGAGTAGGATAGGTAGGGTAGAGTAGGATAGGTAGAGTAGGGTAGGGTAGGTAGAGTAGGGTATGTAAGTAGGGTCAAATGACGGGAGCGACGCCGCGGGTAAGAGCTAGTATATAAATAAAACCTTTTTAATTAAATACATAAATACGAACTAATTATATTGTTGTTGTTTAATTAAACTCATTTGTAGTAAATGGATTCATTGTACATATGTTGTTGAGGTATATGTATATTGCCAGAGCCTTAACATCGTAGCAATAAGGTTGTTTTTTCATATTTACGTAAATCACAGCATTAAAAGCAAAGAGACTTTTATATCTCACATTAAATTTTGACTGTTTATTTTTAAACTAAATACATATGAGCGTTGAAATATTTATATTGTACTAGCGACCCGCCCCGGCTTTGCACGGGTGGGATGGTGATACTAAATTTCTCCGCTATTTAATGTATTTTGTTATTCATATTAACTTTTCTGTTCAACCACTTCTCTATATACCTATTAAAAAACCGCATCAAAATCCGTTCTGCCTTTTTGAAGTTTAAAGTTCGTTGTTCATTGTTAACAAAATGAATTGTTGTTTGTAATTTTTTTATGGACTTGGTCCAAGTAAAATTTACAATCATTAGGTCGATAATGAAATTATTTATTTCCCAAAAACTTACACTGAAAAACAAAATCAAGTCTCAATGTTTGTAAGCAAATTTAAACTTTATATTGAAAGTTTGCAAACATTAAGACGCTTTAATATACTTATAAATATTGCAACTACTATATAGTACACGGATAATTATACCTATAGTGAGTAGTTTAAAGTTTTAGAAAACAAAACATTACAGAAAACGTTCAAGTGAAATTCTTTGCAAACATTACAGTGAAATAAATGCTGCTGAGAATGCTGAGGAAGGTACGGACACGGGACACAAAGAGAGATTAAAAAGAGCAGTCTTATCCAGTGGAACAATGCCTAGTTCCAATTAGAGGTCGTGTCGCGACTGCGTCCCAACTTAATGTTGCGTGGAAAGTTATGGCTCTCTCCACAACTGCATGCGCTAACTTCGCGGTCGCTCCATGACCTCCTACAGAAATTCATGAGACGCGACATTTATTCGACTTGCGCACACCACAACCGCTAAAACCCACAAGAAAAACAAAAATATTTAGGTGTGTCGGAGCCAAAAGTTACGAGTACACAGTAACGAGGTATATTTTCATAGCTCCACCGAAAAAACATTGGGAACAACAAAATAATGGCTAAGAGCACGTTACTGTTTTTCTTTGCTTCCTTTTTGAGGTTCAAGAGCAACCCTTCAAGTCGGACGTTAATTGCTACGTGAGAATACTTACACCTGTACCCACAGCCTCTATGGAGAGACTGTAATAAACAAAATAAGTAAACAGGAATTAAAACATTAGATGTTTTACGACAGAGCGTTCTCCCTTTTATGTTTCTTGCGATGATAACACTAGCAGCCGGTTATTATCTGCTATTAATTATTACTTGCTCGTTACCCTTTATAATTTAAGCAACTACTGGCTGCTTAAAATATTATAATTATTTAATTAGGACGCCCTTACTCTAAAACACACCTGCACGCATGCATAAGTAACTAGTACCTAAACATATTGTACTTCTCCTTGTCTTTTTACAATTATTATTACCTAAAACGACTGATATAAGTCTGCTTTTCGCCTGGCTTGTTCAAAAGTAATTTAGTTTTCTTGTCATACAATACGAAGTAAACCCTAAATTGATGAACTGTGCAAACATAGTTTAGACAATCCGGCTTGTTTACCCGAGTCGTACACTCAGTAAGGTTACTCGACAATTTTCAAGCAACTTCTGGGGCGTATAATCCTGACCAGTATGTGGCAACCGTAACTATAAGCGTCCTGCACTCAACACAAAAGACGAAGGCGAACGATAGATACTTACTACAAAGACGCAATTTTGTTTTTACTTAAATATACTCAAAAGTGTACCTTACAATGATAAATAATCAATTTATCTATAAGAAAACAAACTTGGATGGAAAATAAGTAAAAATTTGTATCAATTTAATTTAAAAAGATTATTGGCTGTGGCCGCTCATTGTAGATTAAAAAAACAGGCCATGTTGACTAAGCTACTTATTTTTAATTGAACTTCACGTTGCTTATCGAAGTATTGTAACATGAAGAACCGATATTGAGATCGCTATCAGAAAATTAAATAATTGTTTTCTTGTAGATTCTTATTTTTAACGATTTATTATTATATAAGTTCTTTTTAGAACAGTTGTGATTTTATGAAAACATTGAAGCGTTCAACAAAAGAATACAAATTGGCTGGTCATAAAATGAAATATGAATTTAAAGCATCGGGGTCACAGAATTCTGAAATAGAAGCGACAATAAAATTAGAATCAAAAATTCACGCGTTCACTGATATTACTCGGTCGACATTTTGTAATGTGGCCTACGGGGCGAATAAAGTGAAAAATTTAAAGCAGATATGACAATATTTTAGAAGGAATAGCTTTATTTTTAAAATGAGCACCGTCATAAATCCCACCCCGCTGCAATAACGCACGCTCGTGTACATGTGCTCTGAATATAAAACGTAACATCGTATTAAAATGTTCAGCTTACCTATTGACAAATATACCTACTTACCACTTACAGCGTTTTAGCTTGATGAAAAAACTTCCATCACTTTGGATCTGCAAATATAAATTCCATCGAAAACTTGTGTGTTATTGGGAAGTTAAATAATAAAATCCGGATATACCGTACGTAGGTAGGAAATCTTCCGTTTATTTATTTAGGTATTCGTTTTTTTTTTTCGTTCGTTGAAGATTTCCAATACACTCTCTGAGATGTTGTTTTTACGCGAGAAGCTAAGATTAACTGGAATATAGACTTCATTATTTTTTAATAATAATTAAATATTTATTTACAAAAGAAAATATTATCAAAAAGTCTTTTGGATTCGTTAAATCTTTCACGTAAGATAATTTATTATTTTAACAATGTAATTTAATAACATTTACAAAATAAATTAGTGAATGAAAAAAAGTATTCAATCATTTGTAAGCGCATCTTTGCGTGACCTCTGTTTAGTACCTAAGTTTAAGGTTACAGTTAAAGTCCTCTAACTTGTCTTATTATGGAATTTAAATTATAATTCTAATACAGAGTTAGTTATTTCTAAAACCTGACTAATTTGAAGATGGCCGTCTCCTGTTCTTTAACGCAAGATTGCTGGTGGATCTAGTCCAAAGAGTAAGCCTAATTGTTTAAGGTATCTTTCGATAAATCCTAAAAATATGCATTATCATTTTAATCTCGAGGATGACTATGACAAGCTCCCAAGCGTTCCCCGTGCGCCTCAAAGGGCCAAGTGACCACCACAGATGAGGCCCATTAGGCAAGATGTTTTGGCGGAGTTGCGGGTCTGCAGCCTTGGGCTAGAGCAGGAGAAGGAACAGGGGATTTTTAGTCAGTACGAGTTTGACAATTCCTCTCGTCATACCCTAGGCCAAAGAAGCCATTGATGCTTTTCCCTCCCCAAAAAATTTTATGACAGGCTGTACTAACAAAAATATTGTCATTCATCCGAATTGAAAGTAAAGAAATTCATAAGATTCGTTTTTCGTGTGTGCGACAGTAAATAGTAACGTTAACAAAGGAAAACTCTTCCAAATGTAATTAGACGGAGTACGCCGTACAATTTCGTTAGGTACAGAATAATAATGTTCGAAGCAGACGTGTGAAAACCTTACGGGAACGTATCACACAGTTTCACACGGACACGGAATTCCGTCGTAAAAAGTACGGATTTGTATTAAGACAGATTTATGTTCTAATTAGTCGCTCGGCGAACGTTGCAGAGCTGCGTAAAACAAATTTATGCGACCACGTCTTTGTTTGTACAAATTGTTTCATATGATTTAAAAGCGACAGGTAACTGCGGCGTCTGTACGAGGATTGATGGTGTGGCCGCGATTCCATATTCGAACACTTTATTACGCTACCGTAATATTCTATGCAGCCAGTTTTATTCACATTGTGTCAATTTTTTTTTAGTTTAATTTATATTGTACCCTCCTTTGATTAACTATTGATTGAGACTTGATATCTTGGCTGTTCTTGCCTTACGTTACCGTTTTATTGGACTGATGATTAATAGATATATCCATCTGAAAAGTTTTTAAAAGTACCTACTTTCCATTTCAATTGGTAAAGTACCCCTTATATAGCCTTATATTGAGAATTTTTTTCCTACGACCGGAATCTTGAGACGAACCCTATGACATACAAAACAAAGTGAAATTTAGTTAGTAAGGGTCTGAGAATCCCTGTCATTCCGTCCTGGGCGAGCTAAAGCGCTCGAAGATTGTCTTCCTCAAAAAAGCTTCTTGCAACATTTTTCCTAATTAAACTTAACATACACTTTATAAATACCTGAAAATCCTTCAGCACAATGTGTGCAGAGAAAGGTTAACCTCACAAAACAACAAATACTATACGAGCATTATCAATTTACAGTCTGTGGGTTATGACAAAAGGTTCGTCCATGTGGCCGCTTTTACTCTGCACCCGAAACGTCACAACAAAAGCCCTTTCTCTGCCAACTTGAAAAACTTACCGAACTCTCCCTCACAGGGCAGCAGACAAAAAGAGTCAGTTCGTTAGAGTATGTCTTCTACTATAAACAATAGTTTAAAACTATAACATAAATATTATGTAACTTATTGTTCTTTGGTTTCATTATGTTCGGTGTTGTTTTTCTGTGTGAAGTCTAGGCATATTTTGCAAGGGGAGAAATCAAATCTCTTCCTCGCCCTATAGAATTAATTGGTTCTGTATTTGAAATAAAAAAACAAGGTTAGGATAAGGCTGAAGTGTATTTTATTTCTTTTATCAAAGTTGTGTGTTAAATAATTGCTGAACTCATTTTAGGAATCACTTTTTGGGAGTTCAGATAGGATATATATGTATGTTGTCGTGTCAAAAATAGTTAGGTTACCTACAAAATAGCACTTAAATCTAAGCCTTGTACGATATAATTTAGTTTAAAACCTTTTCACCAAATTCCTGTATGTTTCAGTATGTAGTTGGTGTAAATGTTACGTTTTCTGTGCACTCACAAATCTCGATGTTACAGTTTTGTCCGAAACAGAGAGATATTTAACTAGAACATAGCATTCTAATGTTTTTGTTTACTATTTGTATTATAACAATGGAATTTAATTAATATTTTATCGTTTTCAACATTAAGTCATCAGCCTATAAGTACTCACTACTGAGCTACGGCCTCTTCTCACACGGAGAAGGTTTGTGCGTTTATTACCGCGCTGGCTCAGGGTAGATTGGTGGTTTCAAATTTACAATAAGTAATTATAAGTCCAGGTTTTGTCACGATGCTTTCCTTCTCCGTATGCCAGTGGTGTCTTAATTAACTTAGAAACGACATAGATATAATAAAAATAAGTGACACCATCATCCTCATGCATGAGAAGTGGGAGGCTTAACCTCAGGCCCATCACAACTTGTTTATGGTTTTTCTTCACTGATTAACCATTTTCTGTCACAAAAAGTCTAACATTATATCTTATTCCTTATGTGACAGAAAACTGTAAGGAGACATTTTGGTAAATAATAGCCCAAATAAAATTCTGCTAACTCAATGGCGACCTGGAATAGTGAGCTCTGAGATAGATTCATAAAACCTGGAAGGGACAGCTAAGGTCAACCAAGGGATGTAAGGGATTATTACAACGCCTGTAAAAGATAAATTCTAGCCTCAGTGTGTATACTGAGATTAAAAAACAAGCAGCCGTTACTAAGCTTGGTCTTAACCTACTTCAAGGTGTCGGGCTTTTATTATTAAAATATCCATGTCCTTTTAATTTAGTTTCAAAATTTGCGAGCGAGTTTTATGTCTTTAAAATTATATATCGAAGATAATACCACGTACTTTACAACTTCTTTTATAGTGATCAAACGTAAAACGTCTGGATTGAAAAGCAAGCGCTCAAACTGCACTTACTCAATATTTTCAATCGAAGTGTGTTTGATGTTATTGTCATAGAGCAGGCTACATCCCGAATGCGGTGGAACAAATGTTCGGCCCTGGTACACCGACAGGAACCTGTTTTGAAGTTAAATTACCAAAGTTTGACAAGCGGTCCGACTCACTAAACTACGCCAGCAATAATTCTGCATAGCGTGGTTGGAAGACAATCACCCTCCAAGTACTTATCTACCATTAGTGCAGCTAGGAATGCATTTCGATATAAAATATTTTTACTGGCAATAAATTTTTACCATTACTCCCAGACATGGAATTAAAAGTTTGGATTAATTTTATTTGAAAAGTTTACCGTGACCACCGTGTAGGGAGCACGTCTACCGTCTGTTCGAAGCACAGGTGCTCGGCCGAGAGCAGCGCGCCGCGCGCCGTCTAATGAAATACGTCTCCCAAGACACCCAGCCACGTTTCCCCTCAAATTGATACCGCAGATTATCTCATTCCGGTGATTTCGTCGTGGCTTTATACTTTTCATTAAATTGAACAGACGTTCTCCACAAATCGCCTTAAGAGTAACGTGTTCGTTCATCGTAGGTTTTCACGTTCGGCTCGCGCACCTCGGCAGTGAACGTGTCGAGAGCGGGGCGCGTCAACGGGCCGACCCACATGATATTAATTCCGAGCCGAGCTCTGGGCCACCGACAGGCTTATAAGATTAGAATAATTTTCTCATTCCGAGGACTCCCCGCGAGCGCAACCAGCAGTTTAATTAAAACTAACAGTTGTCTCACACAGTCTTATCCGGCAATTTGCGAGGTATTACAGGCCGAACTTCGTCCACAAATTATCTTGACTCCATTTAACAAAGCGGTTATGTTAATACAATCTCGCCGGATTTAGAAGAATGTTTTTGTTATAAGAGGCGTGCACCGAATTACGGCATTAAGGTAAAATATGATATTTAATTTGAGGTTCTTGATACAGCAGCGAGCAGCAGCAGCGCCGTGTTGCGGCCGCGCCACGCAACGTGTTAGAGATGTGATCATTAAACCGGGGCCCAAATGAGCTTTTTATAGGCTTCATAACACTTACAGACGGAACCAACTATTGAATTAGTAATGTCGTTTAATACGTTCACTTTACTGTTGTACTGACGGCGTCTCTAAAGTTGACGCTGCCATCAAATATTAAATGTGTTCAGAGACATAAAATTATAAAGTAAAACGTGACAGGCTCGCGAACTACGTAACTTATTAAGAGGGCTTAGGGAACTTCTTTCCACCGCGGCGCGACCGTAATGTCTGTGGTTCCACGGTAAAATGAGTTAGAATCAAGAATCAGAATGTAACAAAAAAAAAAAAACTATTTACGTATATTTAAGTGCATTATGTTTTCGAGGGTATAAAATAAGCTCCCTCCATATGTCCGAATAAAATCCGATTGTCTTCATGCATATAAAAATTTTGTCGCTGTCGCCGTGAATTATTGTGTGACATAAATGTTAGGGAATGAATCTGAAGGAGGCTTGGAGTCAGTTAGCTCCCCGTATCGGCTGCTACCCTTTATCTTCACTATGAAATAAAGGAAAAAGCACCAGTCTCTCTGTAATATTTTATGCGTATGAGTGCTTATGAAATATGAATTCTATCTCGCAAAACATATTATTTCGTTATTACTGAATATATTGCTACACGTTTCAGAGTTATATGGGATAATACGCTTTTCTTTATAAGCAAAAATAAATATCGTGGAGCACATCCGTATGGTATTGTGACTGTTAAAATGTAAATTTCTCTGATACTGATAGGAAGAGGTGGGGGGACTCGTTCCGTTTAAAATATACCCGCATACGAGGTAACATAATACGAACATATTTATCTGTTTTGCTGTTAAGAGGGTACTGAAACGTACAATATCAGTTAGTTGAAGGATACACAATTTTTGTTTTTTTTTTTTAGCACGCAACGTGTCGGGGGTTAACTTCCCGCATGGAAAAACTTTATGTGATCCACAACTATTTGTTCCGGTTCTAAGTGGGATGTGTATATGGAATTGTATGTTTTTAAATGCACTCACGACACAGAAGAAAATCCTAGAGTGGGTTAAAGTTTTAAAAGGATTAGGTAAAAGAACAGAAAATTCATTTAATCAAACCTTACTGTTAATACGTATTTACTAAAGTATTTTCTACTTACCGAGTGTGAACATTGTTCAATAATTAGTGATAATAACAATGCAGGCGGTAACTCCACGTTTATCGGCGGCTGGTGACCGCAGTTTTATGTCTCCATCCCTGACATAACCCTGATTGCATTTCCCCTCTACAATAAACAAAGACAATTTTGAAAGTTCATTAATTAATTAATACTGCTATAAACAGAGGCTAATAAAAGGGCGCAGTATTATAAACTGTACAAAGATTTAAGTTTGGGGTGTTCCTCTTCGGTTTGCCGGTAACCGGCCCGTGACGGCGACGCCGAGACGCCGGAGACCGCATCGCACACTGCATGCACTGTGCGCGCATTTCCAGGAACAAAAATATTTTTATATATTTTTATTTTTATTTAAAAAAGGACCTACCGATAATAGTATTAGTTATTAATAATAAATATTGAAGGAAAGGAATATAGTAATAATAAAAAATATAGTGAAAATAAAAATAAATGAAGATAATAAGCTTCCTACAAAAATATTAAATCGTAGTGGTTTTGCAAAACCGATGAGTAGTATTAAATAATTTACGGTCAGTTTCACAGATTTTTTAAAACATTTTTGATAAAGACGTGCAGATCAAGATACAAAAAAATACTTTTAATTTTAATTATATCTTAAATAAGTGTCTAGGTTCTAAGTACTCATACGTCAATATTTGCAATAAAAATAACATTGAAAAGAAACATCTAAATTGAAATGTTTATTCAATATAGGCTCAAACTGTTAATCCACTTAAAGACATTTTAATTAAAAATCATCGCATTAAATGTGAAGAAGAAGAAAAAGAAAATAGAAAGCCAATATTGTTACAAGCCAAAAAAATAATGTGGAGCACAGTGCTGATCCCCAGCAATCTGTCCCGAACAATAAGTCTCTCTCGAACAAAAGCCGGCTATTTGAACAAGTCGGAAAGTTTTGTAGGTTTAGCTCTTTCTCCGCGGGATCTTGGCAGCGTCCTGCCGCTCACAATGGGACGAATAATCGTTAGGGCCAGTCATAAGAAAACGCATTACAAAAACAACGACGCACTTTAACCAGTATTACTCAACATTTTGTCACTGCCAACTACTTAATTTCTTCACTTTTTTTTCTGCAGTCGGTCGACTTTTTAAACGGGAATTCTTTTCTTTAATACCTCCGCGTTCCTTTCATGATGTAATTGCTGTGAAAATCGTTTTCAAAACTCACCTCTTTTTAGGGTTCAAAGAGTAAAATCGGGAAATCCAAGCTAAGGCTGCGAAGTCTGTCCGTCTGTCTATCTGTGTGTCTGTCACCAGGCGAACGTGGCAGTAAGACAGTAAAAATTTGAAAAAATATGACGTAACTAAAAATAAATATTATTTAAGGGAAAGTCCCGTACAACAAAAGACTTTTTAGTTTTTTCAAATATAAAAAAGAAAAAAATACTGGGACCTAAACAGTACTTACTCTGTATTTTTCGTAACATACTCGCACATTTACAGTTTACATGTATCTTACGTTATCTAAACGTACTGAATAATCATGTTTATGATAAAACCATTTACGCTTGACACCAAAATATATTCTCCTTGAAAAATAGAGTATTTTTGCGTATCTGTCAGACACATGTTTCTTGAAATCCCTGATGTGTTTGCATCTTAGTGTAATTGAAACAGCTATTTAAATATAGGTGTAGATACTTTAAGCAACTCAGTGAAAATATGCATTCAATTAAAATGAAATGTTAGCACCATTTAAACAGTTTCGAATGAAAACATAAAACAGATTTAACCTTTCTGTAGGTCTGAGAAAATGTTGTTAAGTAAACAGAACATTTTCCATTACAAGCCCCCGCGTAATCTGTTCCGCTGCGGATCCGACACATATCAATACAGATGTAATGCCTCAATTTACCTCTGTTTCACAGACACAAGTATGGCATCCATTGAATGCGGGCCCGGGTAAAAGGATCCACAGTGATGGTAAGGCGACATAACGAAGGAACGCGATCCGGCGCGCGCCGTCACTTCCGGCGGCCGTCACGTGGGAACGACTTCCGGCGAGGCGCCAGAGCTCGCCTCCACTTACAATCACTTAGCTCTCGAACAACACCCGATCTTCTGCAAACACACTAGAAACTTTCTCGCACCAATATTCATTTATTCCACGTCAATTTTATTACGGAATATTAAAATGATTAGATTAAATTGAACTGCTGCCAGACACATAGTCATTTTGATGAAATTTTAATATTATCAGTAGGTTTAGCTGCTTTCAGCAAATTAATATTGTCACGTTTTTGTGATAAACGGCTCAGTGAACGATATTCGTTTAATATTCATCGAAAACAATTCGAAAACTGATTAAAAGCGTACAAATTCAAAACCTAAAAACATAAATCTGCGTCCATTTGAAGATTTCAGTTATTTTCATACATCGGTTTAATTTCCGTTTCGGCATTGTTTTCAGAGGGAAATTCGATTGGAACAAGAGACGGCGTTGATATGAGCCCGTGTAATTTCCTCTCATATTCAATTTAATTCTTTGAAGGATGCATGTCAGCCGACCCTTACTTTAATAGAATGAACTCGTTATATCGGATCGTAAAAAGGAGAATTTATTTACGAAAATTGTTTTCCGAACTGAAACATGTATTAACTTTGCGAAAATACGAACATTTACGAAGCGTTTTACGGGATTTGTTTAGATACGCTCTTTGTTGTATTTGCTTTTGAATAAAAACACGGTTAGAGATTCATGATGACATTTCCTATAATACGACCATAAAATACACGTCACAAATTAAAATATATTTGTGTTGATCTAGATATATTTATAGGGTCTTGAATTCCTCTTTCGAAAGCTTGCATAAGCGTATGGAAAAAGTAAACCAGAGCGAAACACATGTAACAATAATTACGCACGTATAGCGAGCAATTAGGCTTAAGCGTGCGTATTAATTGTATCAAATATTTATATAGAACAAGTGTAGGGCATTGTTAGTGATGTCTATATTGGTGCGTGCGCGGCCCACTAGCGTACAGCACGCGACATCGCCTGCGCCGCTATCGACTTACACCCTGTTAAATCTGGCCCAATATTAGTACAGCCTATTCATTACCGTCGCGTTTTATTTTATTGTTTCTTCTTGTAATGGCGCCTTTTCATTTTCGTGTACCCGTTAAAATTTGTTCAATGAAAATTTATAGCCAATTATATACATACACGTATGAATTTAATTTTGTGCTGCTATTTTTGCTTGTTAGTCGTGTTTCTGGCTTAATTTTCGAATTTATTACTATGTTTAGGGACTTTGTTTAGTTAATTAATTGTTCGTGTTCTATCTTATTAATTAATTAAGGTTGGACGAGTGCTCGTCTTAGTTATTACAGTGAAACACTGTGTTATAGCTACATACGTCTGTATGAATGGATAATGAATAGTTATCTCCATTAAAATGATTGTATACAAGGAACCCAATCCGACACTATCGACATAATTTGTAGAACGTCGCGTGGGTACTTTTTCCAATTAGCAGCGAGTCGCAGTGTTACGGAGGTATGGTAAGGATAAAAGTTAAGCCGAGCGAGACACGGAGCACAGGGCCCGATGCCGGAAACCTGTCAATAGTGAGAGGCAGTGAAAGAAAATCTAATTTGGATTTGAGGGATTACACCCAGACTTGTTTCGGCCTAGTAGTTGCCCCCGAGCCGTGCCGTCTTCGCTTTAAATTGAATAAGAAACGCGAAGGCTTCGTAGACACGGCCATTTGATTTCAGAAAATCCCGCACTCCCATTCTACGGTAAATTATTTTGTTTCAAGTACGTTTCGTGTTTTAATGGATCCTAAGATTTCGTAGATGAGAAAGTTGAGGTGAGTTATTTAAATAAATGAAACAATAGTGTATATTTCTGAGAATCTTTTGAGTAATTAAGTTCGGATTATAATTGGCTTTTGTTAACAAAAAAGGAATATTTTTGAAATTTTGTACTATTGATTGCATTGAAACTGGTATAAAATAAAAACTAAATTCAGACGTTTGATTATATTGTCAGTTCCAATACATAAAGGCTCATTGAACGTTCTAACAAATCGGTGTGCTATGTGATCGGTAATTAACGAGATGACTCGGTCGAATCAAAATGCATGAGTCACAGTCATTGTCCCGTCCCCTGTGACCCTGAGCTAAACGATGACCACCAAAACACGACGTTACTGTCAGCAGAAAAGATATAAATTAAAAAATACATAGAGAAAAATGTCGAGCCCCTGACGTAGGCTACAAAGAAACATGTCAGATAAAATATTCGCTGTTTTCCTTGTAACAACGGTAAATTAGATACCTCTATTGAATACAATTCCTTTGGAATAGTATCAAGATTAAAGATACTGACTATATTATGAATTTAAAAGTTTTGCAGTTCAATGTAGCACAGCCATGAGTAAGAGGCAGGGAGCGTCCAAGTCTGAACGCAGTTAGCTTCATATTTCATATTGGCAGTAGAACAAGCTCTTTTATTTCTGTCTGCACGCTGACATGTGGCTTTTTCAATCGTTCAAAAGTTTTATTAAAACTTATTTTCTACGACTTTAGTACGCAAATGTTTCTGCATTTAATTAAAATACTAAGCACATATGCCGCGATTAAATTGAGAGACATATTGCCATTTTAATAAAGACCTTTTTAGCAAGCTTTTTAAAAGAAAAGTTATATATTTTGAAAGGTTGTTGACTGTACACAAACAGGGAAAATAATTTGGTTTTATTGATACAAAACCTTTACACGACCTTCCGTCTAATACTCATAAAAACGCGAGTAAGCATGTAAACCCATTTAGAAAAACAATAATATATAAGAAAAAATCTACCTTACGGAAAAAACAAGAAAGAAAAATACGCGATATGAAAATAAGTATTCCAATGAAATAATTCATCGGCGAAATAGACATGTTTGTGTGTAGGTGGAAGGGAAAAGTCGCGTTTCATCACCTAACAATTCTTTGTGGAAGCATATTGTGAGCGAGATGACGAG